ACCCACACACACACTCAGGAACCCACACACACACTCAGGCACCCACACACACACTCAGGCACCCACACACACACTGAGGCACACACACACACACTCAGGCACCCACACACACACTCAGGCACACACACACACTCAGGCACCCATACACACTCAGACACCCACACACACTCAGACACGCACACACATACCCAGGCACCCACACACACACCCAGGCACCCACACACACACTCAGGCACACACACACACTCAGGCACCCATACACACTCAGACACCCACACACACTCAGACACGCACACACCTACCCAGGCACCCACACACACACTCAGGCACCCACACACACACTCAGGCACCCCCACACACTCAGGCACCCACACACACACAGGCACCCACACACACACACTCAGGCACCCATACACATTCAGGCACCCACACACTCACTCAGGCACCCACACACACACTCAGACACACACACACACACTCAGGCACCCACACACACACTCAGGCACCCACACACTCACTCAGACACCACACACTCACTCAGGCACCCACACACACACTCAGACACACACACACACACACTCAGGCACCCACACACACTCAGGCACACACACACGCACTCAGGCACCCACACACACACTCAGGCACCCACACACACACTCAGGTACCCACACACACTCAGGCACCCACACACACACTGAGGCACACACACACACACTCAGGCACCCACACACACACTCAGGCACACACACACACACTCAGGCACCCACACACACACTCAGGCACCCACACACACACTCAGGCACACACACACACACTCAGGCACACACACACTCAGGAACACACACACACACTCAGGCACCCACACACACACTCAGGCACCCACACACACTCAGGCACACACACACTCAGGCACCCACACACACACTCAGGCACCCACACACACACTCAGGCACCCACACACACACTCAGGCACCCACACACACACTCAGGCACCCACACACACACTCAGGTACCCACACACACTCAGACACCCACACACACTCAGACACACACTCAGGCACCCACACACACACTCAGGTACCCACACACACTCAGACACCCACACACACTCAGACACACACTCAGGCACCCACACGCACACTCAGGCACCCACCCACACACACACTGAGGCACACACACACACACACTGAGGCACCCACACACACACTCAGGCACCCACACACACACTCAGGCACCCACACACACACACTGAGGCACCCACACACACTCAGGCACACACACACACACTCAGGCACCCACACACACACTCAGGCACCCACACACACACTCAGGCACCCACACACACACACACTCAGGCACCCACACACACTCAGGCACACACACACTGAGGCACCCACACACACACACACTCAGGCACCCACATACACTCAGGCACACACACACTCAGGCACCCACACACACACTCAGGCACCCACACACACACACTGAGGCACCCACACACACACTCAGACACCCACACGCACACTCAGGTACCCACACACACTCAGACACCCACACACACTCAGACACACACTCAGGCACCCACACACACACACTGAGGCACACACACACTGAGGCACACACACACACACACTGAGGCACACACACACTCAGGCACCCACACACACACACTGAGGCACACACACACACACTGAGGCACACACACACTGAGGCACACACACACTGAGGCACACACACACACTCAGGCACCCACACACACACTGAGGCACACACACACACACATACTGAGGCACCCACACACACACTCAGGCACACACACACACACTGAGGCACACACACACTGAGGCACACACACACTCAGGCACCCACACACACACACTGAGGCACACACACACACACTGAGGCACACACACACTGAGGCACACACACACACACTCAGGCACCCACACACACTCAGACACCCACACACACTCAGGCACCCACACACACACTCAGGCACCCACACACACACTCAGGCACCCACACACACACACTGAGGCACCCACACACACACACTGAGGCACACACACACACACTCAGACACCCACACGCACACTCAGGCACCCACACACACTCAGGCACCCACACACTCTCAGGCACCCACACACACACTCAGGCACCCACACACACACACTGAGGCACCCACACACACACACTGAGGCACACACACACACACTCAGACACCCACACACACACTCAGGCACCCACACACACACTCAGGCACCCACACACACTCTCAGGCACCCACACACACTCAGGCACCCACACACACACTCAGGCACCCACACACACACTCAGACACCCACACGCACACTCAGGTACCCACACACACTCAGACACCCACACACACTCAGACACACACTCAGGCACCCACACACACACTCAGGCACCCACACACACACTCAGACACCCACACGCACACTCAGGCACCCACACACACTCAGACACCCACACACACACTCAGGCACCCACACACACACTCAGGCACCCACACACACACTGAGGCACCCACACACACACACAGGCACCCACACACACACTGAGGCACCCACACACACACACATTCAAGCACCCACACGGACACACGCGAGACGCAGGCTCGCGATCACAGCGCTCAACGTCGTAATTGCTTTCGGCAAAAAAAACACGAGGTTAAATAAATAAATAAATATTCCTTCGCCAAAAAAAACACAAAATAAAATTTCGGATCAATGTTTCCCATTTCTGACCCCGTCGACCCTTGCTCAGCGAATCTAATAAATTCGCCCGGGGCAGTAATTTTTTTTTAAAAGCGCGTTGTGTTGTTGTTGTTCTTTATACGAGTACATAATTGGTAATCTGGTGTGTTGATTACCCTATGAATCACCGGACCCGACGATGAATTGACCATTTGTAATTTAAATTTCTACTTTATAACTTTCGTGAATTGCAGGAATTCATCTTCGTGTGCCTCACCGCACGCCACTGTTTCATAGGTGCTGCTACTCGCTAATTGCACTTGCCCTAACAGTCTGTTGAGGCTACACGGGGGATCTTTGTCTTTGTGCGTTCATATGTGCTGCTGCTACTCGCTAACAGCACTTGCCCCAACAGTCTGTTGAGGCTACACGGGGGATCTTTGTCTTTGTGTGTTCATAGGTGCTGCTACTCGCTAACAGCACTTGCCCTAACAGTCTGTTGAGGCTACACGGGGGACCTTTGTCTTTGTGCGTTCATATGTGCTGCTACTCGCTAACAGCACTTGCCCCAACAGTTTGTTAAGGCTACACGGGGAATCTTTGTCTTTGTGTGTTCATAGGCTTCAGCTACTCGCTAACTGCACTTGCCCCAACAGTCTGTTAAGGCTACACGGGGAATCTTTGTCTTTGTGTGTTCATAAGTTCTGCTACTCGCTAACCGATATTAAAATAATCGGTTAAAGTAATCGATTAATAATTTATCCGGGTCTTTTTTATATCAAAAATAATCGATTGATAATTTCTAATTTGTCAATAAAAATCTACCAAATAATCGAACATTTCAAGAAAGAATTGTAATGTAATCGTGACTACGATTCCTTAATAATCGAATCGCGAGGGGTGTTCGGGTTGGTGGACAGAGGGTGCCGATTGGCTCAGAGCTTGCGTCGCTCCGATTGGCTGAGCGAATTACGTGGGGGTTCGGGGGGGGTCCTCCTCACTCCAAAGCGCTTCGTAGATTTTTTGATTTCCTTACATTTTATGTTCGTGTTAGTGAAAAAATTCAATTCTGGAAAACAGAGTGATGTGACGGATCAGCGTTCTACGGGGGTCTCGATATTATTTCTATTTAACTATTTTTATCTCACCACCGTGATGATGATGAGAGACAGAGAGACACGCAAACTCCAAATATACAGCAGCAGCAGGCGTCAGGGTCTGGATAGAACCCACGACCTCCTGTACACCAGGCGAGGTAGTTAACATCTCCTAGCCACCGTAATGATGATGATGAGAGAGACACGCAAACTCCAAATATACAGCAGCAGGCGTCAGGGTCGGGATCGAACCCACGACCTCCTGCAGACCAGGCGAAGTAGTCAACATCTCCTAGCCACCGTGATGATGATGATGATGAGAGAGACACGCAAACTCCAAATACACAGCAGCAGGCGTCAGGGTCTGGATGAAACCCACGACCTCCTGTACACCAGGCGAAGTAGTCAACATCTCCTAGCCACCGTGATGATGATGATGATGAGAGAGACACGCAAACTCCAAATACACAGCAGCAGGCGTCAGGGTTGGGATCGAACCCACGACCTCCTGTACACCAGGCGAGGTAGTTAACATCTCCTAGCCACCGTGATGATGATGATGAGAGAGAGAAAGACACGCAAACTCCAAATACACAGCAGCAGGCGTCAGGGTTGGGATCGAACCCACGACCTCCTGTACACCTGGCGAGGTAGTCAACATCTCACCAACAAACAAAAGACGTCTTTCGATTTAAAGCTTTCGTGACTGCAGGGATTCATCTTCTTGGTTCTTTCGGTAAAGTCACGTAGAATGGAAATAATAAAATAATAAAAATAAAACATAATAAAATATTATGCAGGGATTCATCTTCTTGGTTCTTTCGGTAAAGTCACGTAGAATGGAAATAATAAAATAATAAAAATAAATCATAACAAAATAATTCTCACGACGTTTCGGCCACAACGCAAGCAGGCTTGGAGCCTGGGGTGTGTCATTCAGACGCTGTCTTCTCGACAGACCTGTTCTCCACCTGAGGACGGCTGCTTGCGTTGTGGCCGAAACGTCGTGAGAATTATTTTATTATGTTTTATTTTTATTATTGTGCTATTTCCATTCTACGTGATGACTTTACCGAAAGAACCAAGAAGAAAAAATACGTCTTGTAGCGCCATCTAGCGGCTAGTCCAGCGTACTGCGCGTGGCATCAACAAAATTACAAACAAGCCGACAAGCCAGAGCAATAAATGAGCCTTATTATTTTTTATTGAGATTGTGATGATGATGATGGGGCCGTGACAGGTGCTGTCTCTTCCGTCTTGCTGCCAGATCCTGCAGGCTGTTGCAGAGCTGGTATTGACAACCCCCATCTTGCAGTCCCATCATCATCACCATCACAATCATCACCATCACAATCATCATCATTACAATCATCATCACAATCATCATTAACATCACCATCATCATCACAATCATTATCATCACAATCATCATCATCATTATCACAATCATCAGCATCATCACAATCATCACCGTCATCACAATCATCATCACAATCATCATTATCACAATCATCATTATCATCATTAGCATCACCATCATCACCATCATCATCACAATCATCATCATTACCATCATCACCATCATTATCATCGTCAGCAGCATCATCATCATCACCATCATCATCATTACCATCATCATCATTACCATCATCACAATCATCATCATCATTACCATCATCACAATCATCACAATCATCACTATCATCATCACCATCATCATCACAATTATCATTGTAATCACCATCATCACAATCATCATCACAATCATCATCATCATTACCATCATCACAATCATCATCACAATCATCACCATCATCATCACCATCATCATCATTACCATCATCATCATTACCATCATCACAATCATCACAATCATCACAATCATCATTATCATCATCACCACCATTATATAAGCCAGTGGAAGCAAGCTAGCGGCAGTAATCTAGTGGCAGTAGTGGTAATCAGCGTGTGCTAGCCGAGATGATCGGACATCGGCCCTGCCAAGGTGGGTGAGAGGGGCCTCTTGGCACCGGTTTCATGACCGTCTTGATGTCTCCCTCTCATCTCTCTCCTCCCTCTCATCTCTCTCTCCCCTCTCTCTCCTTTCTCCTCTCTCTCTCCTCTCTCTCCTCTCTCTCCTCTTTTTTTTAGGCTATTGCATTGCATTTATTTACTTAGAATGTTTCGATTTAAAGCTTTCGTGACTGCAGGGATTCATCTTCTTGGTTCTTTCGGTAAAGTCACGTATGTTTTATTTTTTTTATTTTATTACTTCCCTTCTACGTGACTTTACTTAGAATGTGTTACCGGATTTTATTTCTGCTTAATCAGTTTCCTTGACGACATGTTGGCGGTTACCGAGTCACTGGCCCCCAACGAGTGAGGACCATAGATTTCGATTTAAAGCTTCTTTTGTGACTGCAGCAGGGATTCATCTTCTTGGTTCTTTCGGTAAAGTCACGTAGAAGGGAAATAATAAAATAATAAAAATAAAACATAATTAAATAATTTCGATTTTAAGCTTCTTTCGTGACTGCAGGGATTCATCTTTTTGGTTCTTTTGGTAAAGTCACGAAGAAGAGAAATAATAAAATAATAAAAATAAAATTCGATGTAAAGCTTTCGTGACCGCAGGGATTCATCTTCTTGGTTCTTTCGGTAAAGTCACGTAGAAGGGAAATAATAAAATAATTAAAAATAAAACATAATAAAATTATCCAGACGCTGTCGCCTCGACAGACGCTGTTCTCCACCTGAGGACGGCTGCTTGCGTTGTGGCCGAAACGTCGTGAAAATTATTTTATTATGTTTTATTTTTATTATTTTATTACTTCCCTTCTACGTGATGACTTTACCGAAAGAACCAAGAATAGTGAAGACCAGCTAATGATACACGTGTGAAGATACGTTGTTGTTGTTGTTGTTTTGTTTTAATTGGCAAGCATGGTAAATCAGCAACTCATAGAAATTGAGAGTTAACTGCTTTTGTGAAACTCTCATACTCTCCAAATCATGGCAGTAGAGCAAGTAGGTTCGATTTAAAGCTTTCGTGACTGCAGGGATTCATATTAACAAGTATAACCCGTAAAAACAAAGTTTTTCACTCTAAATCCTTTATATGCGTGGCGGCTAGAGTCCTCTCGTCCTCTGGCTTGAGATGGCTGCCACCTATGGGTCAGATGATTGTCTGCCAGTATTAAACAATTGGTAATTAAATATTTAATTTGTTTTCCCTAAACAGTGTAAAATTTTGGAAAAAAAATTCACGAACATTAATTGTCACGCACAACGAGTCTGTGTGGAAAATGTCAGCTCGATTGGATCACGGGAAGTGGGTTAAAAAACGACCGAAAGATTTGCACGGTCCTAAGCAAGCAAGCGAGTGAACTTAATATAAAGGATTTAAAAATATGGAACGCTTCACGAATTTGCGTGTCATCTCTCCTCTCTCTCTCTCCTCTCTCTCTCCTCTCTCTCCTCTCTCTCCTCTCTCCCCTCTCTCCTCTCCTCTCTTTTTTTTTTTTTACGATCAGTGGAAACAAGAAGATGCTCGGTGTATTCGGCACTTTGTTTCGTTCATCATTTCGTAAATTTTTTTTTTTTTTAAACGGAGCTTTATGTAGCCCTCGCTCGCTCGCTCTCTCTCTCTCGCTCGCTCTCTCGCTCGCTCGCTCTCTCTCTTACTC